ATCCTTTTCAGCGTAACTACTCCTCATTGGATATATATATATATTCATTTCAAGGTCGTGTCGTTCACCTGTATTCATTGAATCATATAATGCGTAGTAAAAAAAATCAATACTTGAAGATGCTAAGTGACATGCCTAAAAATCAATAGTATCAATTGGCTATATCTACTGTGTTTCGCTTTTGAATGTAAAGGTACAAATATTTATGTACATATTTCCCACTTATCCTCAACTCACATTAGTATTTTCAAGTTAGTATTCATTGTAGACTGACATCAGTTGGAGGAACAATGAAAACCTGAGAGCAGTAAACAGCCGTCTCGTCCTAGCACGGGACTCCTCAGCAGTGCGCACCCACAACCCCGTAGGGGATCGAACGCGTGACCTTCAGGTTCCGTGGCCAGCACGTTACCATTGAGCCACTAGGTCGGAATCCAAGGGTCTATATTTCCAACTTCTGTCAGTTCACGACATAGCGCAACTGCCACCCAATGTCATCGTTGATTAACTGCCCTCACGACCATCAGGTTAGCCCCACTGGTCATGACTTCTTATTGGAACTTCGGGAATCACCTCTCGAAGCTAGTCACCAATGAGCACCAGTTCAATTGTATTCCGATGAATACTAACTTGAAAATATTTCTGAATCCTCACAACCCCCTCGAAATGCATATGTATTTGTCACTTTACTTAACTATTTTTTTCTCTAATTTCATTATGCACTATTGTGTTTCTTTAGCTTGTAAAAGTGTGAATAACTGAACTGGTAACTTCTGACAGCAGGATAAAAACTGACAACATTGTGTCTATTTATGAGTACTAGTAATTTCTTGTTCTTATTACTGGACCGATGATGGGCTTTCTGCAGACTTTTCGGTATTGTATGAGGTACTGGAATTCAGGATGTGCGTTTCGACATATTCAGGTTTCTTCAGCCTGATCCCCGCGCAACTCCTTAAGTGATGGTCCTCCCACTGGGAAACGAACCCAGCACTCAACCGCTTAGTGGATGATGCTCTGGTTTTTAAAACGATAGTTATTGGCTTTGAGCTCTAGTAAGATTGCTGTCGCTCAATATGAAGAAGGTGTGTCCAGCTGATGAGTCACAAATAGGATGAAAGGCACGTCGCAACATTCTAACCACATAGTAAGTAATCTTCGAGCAATATTGAGGCATCCATAATGGAACCCATGTTCAAAAAGGGGTCGGTCTCGTATAACAACGGGATATTGCAAGTATGAGTATTTAACAGCTGATAGTCGTTGCATAAGTGACGGTCTTTGTGACTCATTGGTTTACTTGATGAAACTCTGATGTTTCAAGTGATGGATCTTGGGTTCAGTTCTCAATAGGATGCAGCCATTTCTAACCAACTGGGATAAAATGCGAGTTCTAGATTCCACTGTTAAGCAAACTGTATCAAGTGTGATTTTGCATCAAATGATATTTCTATGCTCTCCACCAACATGTTTAAGGTAAGATGTGACACCAGTGTATGAAATCCATGACTGTTGGTCTGAGTCGTGTGGGAAAAAGTAGACTGCCTGGTAGGGGTTTCCTCGACGACAGGAATCAATGGTTGAGAATTACTGACGATTGAACTGGAAATCGGTCTCAGTAGTGCAGATGTATTTATTCTAAGATCTATAGCTTGAATATTTGCCCTAACCGTTATCTTCAAGTTTTGATCCTCTCAAAAAACTTTGTTTATTTTGGTATTGCTCTTTTTCGATCCACCAGTTCTTTGTATACTACTGTGAATTATGGCAACTTGAACCAATGGACTTATATTCGAGGTTCTACGTTGATTTTATCTTTGTCTACCTGTCTGTCTATTTCGCCTATCCCCACCGAAGTTTCAAACTTCTTATTAGCCTTCGTTACTCGTACACAACATGAGACAATAACAAGCGTATAATTGATGTTATCTTTGTCTGAATATATACATGTATTTCAGTTATCTATGAAGCTCACCGGAGACCAGGTTTTAGAAATCAGTTAACTGGTGACACCAGCATGCAGAGTCAGCAGTTGGTTACCCTTTTCAAAGTAGCCCTCACCATGAATTGAAACCCTTTGGAGAATTGTTGAAAGCCTCGGAGCACTGAGAACTTGTTTCATCCCATTTTGAAACGGTCCAGCACTATGCAAATGCAACTTTGAATTCAAAACCACTAGGTCTCATGGCGGGTCGTGTGCTTCTAAACTAAACTCGATGAGATTTTCTCATGTGGTTCCGCGGTCCACACACACGTACACACACATTCATCCTTCGTTTCAGTTTAATTCGCAAAACTGTGTTTGTTCTCTATACCTCAAGGGCTATCTGACCATCTTGTCTTCTGAGTTTTTACCCTTCTTAAGGCTTATGTCCATATAATGTCATACATTAAATAATATTTCAGTTAATAGTTGCCATTATGGCTTTTTTTGAAATACTCTGCATAACATGAAGAGACTAATTAGCTATAAGTACATTTCATAGTGGTGTCTTTGGTTTGTTTATCCACCTATAATCAACCTCAGTGGTCAGTTTGTCACCATTTAGTGACACCAAGTTGTTAAACAACCAGGTACATATTATTTATTTGCTAAGTAGCCCGACGGATAGCTGCTACCTTGACTTGGTGGTCGGGCTTGTGTATCGAAATGACTCACTGAGCTGTGCTAATGGAGCCCTTGTTATGTTCGAAGTCTTATCAAACTACAAAAGTCTGTTGGATAGTGGTTAGACGAAGAATAGCTACCATTATAGTGTAAATTGCTATTCTACGATGGTGGTCTGAGGGCAAAGTTGTGCGGCTGACTGGACTGGGATGTGACAACAGTAAGATGTTTCCCTTCGATGACCAGCAGTGCCATGCTGATGCTACCTTTCCAACGGGAAGGGGGTTAGATAAGGTCAGCCCCAAAATAGCATACTTTCATTATCCTACGGCATACTGTTGCTTGCGGCAGCAATTCATATTCGAATTCGAAAGCAATACCCTAAAATCTCAAACTTTGAAATGGGATCTGCGACTGTCCTCACTCAAGCAAATGTTCCTTGGGGTATGCGGTTACGCACTATCTTTTCTTTTTCAGATACCTCAAAAAGAACTAGCTTTCCATGGTGCATGCAAATGGAAAGTGTCAACCGCCCTCACAATTCCAGCAGTACACTAACTAGCCTATGAATCACACTTATTGTTTGTAGCCTTATGTCTTGGCTGAAGTAAGTTGGACAGGACTTGAACTGAGGACCTGTTCCTTAGTACGCGGTGTTACATGAAGAATACTTCAGCCATCTGCTCAGCCAACATAGTTTGTCAATTTCGCTTGAACATAATGCATATTAGATATGCAGTTTGAGTGCTGTTAGAAAGTGGTTAGTTTGCGAATAGTTCTACTCTTGATTTGACACCAAGTGGGGAGTACTGCGTAAATGTTTCGCCTTATTTCAAGACTTGTCATCGGTGCACACATAGATTCATACAGGATTGTCCCCATGACTTTAATAACTTGTGGTAACCATAAGAACTTATGTTTTGCAGCTGACATTATCTGATAGAGAAATTAGTCTTTAAATGTTTCTGAAAATTATTTAATTGTACATAAATTTTGTAATTGACGAGATAAGGAATGTGGGTTTTTTTTAATGACTTTTAGCTTGTCCTATCTTTACTGATAGATTAACAACTTCACAGACTATTCTGTTCATAAATCAAATTGATTTTTATCAACAGTTTTCAGTTTCTCAATAGAAAGTATATTATTCAGTGCATATTGTGGCTCATTGGTGTAAGTATTTGAATTTCAGCCTATAAACCATTGGTTTGAATCCCTCTCTACCAGATCTGAGCAGCCAGATAGTATTATAAGCCCTCACGCAATAGATGTGGCTCATTGCCTACTGTACGGAAGTGCATGCACTTTTTGAGTGCGTTTTAATTTTACATATTAGAATCACGTCGTTCACTGAATGTCTATGATATCCATTAAACATTTACCAAGGTGGATGATTTTATGGATTGGAAATATTTATTAATTAATGCATACCGTCTCTTAGTATGTTCTAGAAAAATGTTGTCTTAAACTCACGTCCACACATATAACTGTTGTGGTGGAGAAGAAATGCACAGATAACTTCAGATGGTTGAGAAACTTAGTGCCTTACGAAAAGCATTTCCAACAAACTACACACATACATCATCAACAGCTACCTACGTTCGATACTGACACTGAAGATCAGATGGCCAGAATAATAAGAATATGCAACAAGGAACTTTGACTGTCTGGCTGGCAACGAACCAACCAAGAACCCGTCGTCCAACAAATATGCAGAAGAAAGTGGAGATGGATTGGATTGGGCATACACTGCGAGGACCGTTTGGGTGGATCACGCACCAGGCCAGGCCGTCGAGTGGAAGCCAAAGGGTAAACGATGAGTTGGGCGAGGGTGACATGGAGAAGATGGTGTGAGGAAGAAATGAAGGCTTGTGGGCAGTGGTGGAGCCAGGTTAAAAAGACTGTAGAGAAGAGAGTGAATTGGCGACGTTCTACTGAAGCCCTATGTTCTACTAGGAACCCAAGGGACAAATAATAATAATTGGGTAAACGGTGACTAGGCATATGTAACGCATATCCCACCCAACTGAGTTAGTGCAGCCTTACAGCCTCATCACTAGACCTACATCTTAGGCCTAAAACCCTACGCTTTAATTCTACTTTGCTAACGTGGTGATTACATAATACATACTATAAATCATTGATTTCGTAGATGTGGCTAGTTCACCTAGGCGGGTTCAAACCCCTCTTATTCTACAGAGATTTGAGCAACCAGTTAGTATATAATTAGTTTTCACGTAGTAAGTGTGCATCTCATCGTCTTTTTGTTGTATAAACATGGACTTGATCACTGGGAGAGAGAGAGAGTTTAAGTTATTTTTATGAATGAAGAAATTATATTCAATGCTTCTTTAAATTCTTTTTTCCATGGGAATATCTTTTTCTTTTCCAGGTTCTTGATAGTAAAAAAGGTCCAGGACCAAAGCACATGAAAGAGATTACTAAACGAGCACGTCGTCGTGAGGCTAAACAACAGCAACAAGCAGCAGCAATAACTGTTGGAGTCAAAGAACAAAAAGGCATCAAGTTTACATCTGTTACTCCCACCACCAGCACTCGTTCAACATGCAGTAATGGTAATCATTGTTCAAATACATCTGGATCACGTTCCAATTTTCAACATACACTAGCGAACACAAAGTCAGATTCTTTTCCGTTCAAATCAAATAATTGTATTCATAGCCAATCGGCTATGTCATGTCAACAATTATGTGGTAGGGTGGTGACAACAAGTGGACTGGAAGTGACACGTTCAAGTACACAACAATCTCAATCGGTTTCAAATGGCCATCGATACAACAATACGCATAACAACAATAATAGTCTTAGTCATTATAGTCGATCCGTTCATCATCATCATCATCCTCACAATAATAATAGTAATAGTAATTGTTGCAATTCGTCAAAATCGCATAGAAATGGAGGTGTAGAACATCGACGTTGTTCTTGTCTACGCATAGATCAAGAAGAACACTCAACTAAAATATCCTCTTCTCAAGGAGCAACAAGAACTCGTGCAGCTGCTGCAAGACAATTGGAAGCAGCTAGTAAGCATTATTGCTTTAATCATTTTTTTTTCACATGTAGAACTTTATCTATGATTCTGGTTTTCAGGGTATTTTTTTAAGAGAGAGAGAGAAAAAAAAATAGGGGTGAGTATATTTGATAAGTAATCTTGAATGGAAGAGATAGTATGAATGGGGAAATAGTTGATAAATTTTTATAACTATCTAATACCATTCAAATTTGGATCCTTTCTGAAGTTGAACTTACAATTGGACACTGTCAAAAAAAATGAAATAAGCTTACTGAGTTAAGTAAAAAATTAAAATTAATCATTGAAAAAATCAAGTCTTAAAAATTGACGTTTGAAATCTGACTGTGGTTAAACAACTTAACATTGTCTAACCGAAATAAAAAGCTAACGAAGGAATTTTAAAGCCATATACAACTTAAACAACCGGGAGTTACAAATGTCAATAAGAAAACACGGAAGATGATTGCAGCAAAAAATAAGTTTCCGACGAAATCATTCTCTTAGTTGTGAATTTATGGTAAAAAAAAACAGAACATTCCAGAGTAATTTTTGGTCAAAGGTTAATATAAATTGTAGGAAAAAGGGAAATTACATAATACGTGTAGGCATTTGAAGTAGGGAAAGAAAAACTAATTGCGTCATGTGGGGATTGTCTACTTTAATCGATCCTCTACTATGGTCATGGTAAAGGAGTATATTGTACCTACTTCTTATGGATGCATAATGAATGATGCTTTGAATTTTTGAATCACTAATACTTTAGCCAGTGCTTTCGAGTGGCTTGATCGCATTTTGTAGAAGATTTTAAGGGAGTCATCCTTAGTTTACAAAGTGTTCTGTTACAGAGCTGAAAATAAATTTCTGTTCTTCTCTTGTCAGGCAAGTTGGATAGTGTTCATGAGCGCGTTTTACAAGTGGACATATGGTACCGCCGATATATTCAGCCCCACAAGACCAGTTAATCTGGTATACACATTCATACACTGACGTGGCCTAGTGCTCCAGCTTATTTTCTGCGCCACGCATCTCTGTGTGTATATCAGCTTACTTGGTCTTGTGGAGCTAAGTATGTCTGTCGTACCATATGTCCACTTGTAAAACGCGCTCATGAACACTATCCAACTTGCGTGACAAGGGAAGAACAGAAATTCATCTTCAGCTCTGTAACAGAGCATTTTGTGAACTCAAGACAATTGCCTCGCTTTGATAACTCCTTCGAAATTATCTGCAAAGTGTGAACAAGCCACTCGGAAGCACTCAGGTTAATACCTCTTGGCATAGCTAAAGTATTAGTGATTCAAATGCTCAAACCATCATCATGCATTCAAAAGAAGTATGTACAGTCTCCTTCTTTCCTATGACCATTGTAGAGGATCGATCACTAGATAATTACCATATGACGTAAGTAGTTTTTATTTTTTAATTAGTTTCTCTTTCCCTATTTCGTACAGTTTATATTGAATTTTGATCGGAAATCACGAATGTACAGCTAAGAAAATGATTTCATTGAAAAGAAAGTTTTCTTGCTTCAATCGTCTTCTATGTTTACTTATTGATACTTGTAATTTCCTGTTGTTAGACTGGATCGAACTGATGAACATCTGTTTACGTATGGGCTCCTATATGAATACTTCGACATTGCCAGAGAATTGATTATGTTATAATTGACTCGGTGGTGGCCAGCGCTGGAATCTAGAATGCATGTTTCGTTTTATTTGCGTCTCATCAGCTGGATATGCCTGCACTCTCTTGAGTGGTAGTATTCCCACTGACAATCGAACCCTACACCCATCCCTTCAAACCCTAAAGTACGTTATCCACTAGGTGAATCTGCTTTAAGAACTTCGTAAACTTAGTCTGTCTGTAAGCATAAAACAGTTTTTTGGTAAAGATTGGAATTACTTATGATTTCTTGCATCGACAGAGAGTTTGGGGAATATTTCAATCACTCTTTCCATGTTCAATATGAACTTAAGTTATCTGCAAAGAAATGACCAGCAGTAGAATCCAATCTACATATATCTCCCCAAAATGACTCATCATTTGCAAGTATCTGCCTCCCTGTATGTTAGTTTTCTCATCAAGCACCCTTCACATTGGACTCCAGAATGCGTTGTCCACTGGGCTAATGACCAAATGAAAACGAAATAGAATTCAAGGCAATGTCAAGACACCTATTGAACAAGCACATATGCCTACAAGAATAGTAAATAAATCACTCGTCAAAGAAAGGATAATCAGTACAATCTTGTTATCCTCAATGATAATAATCCATGTTTATCGATTAACTCATATGTGAAGTTTTCAGTAATCTGAGAATGCCAAATAATATTGCTCTTTGGTTAATATTAGTTCGTTGAAGATGGGCATTGCAAACCATCTATTCTGTAGTATTTGTTATGTGACTCATTCCCCGTATGCATTTGACTTTCAACTGGTGAATCATCGGTTCAGACTTGGTTTTACCCATCATGGCTTTAGCCATCAGGTGGTTATTAATGATTATTATGAACCCAAACAATAAGTTTGATTGATATCTTCCATTACACTATCCTGTGCATTGTTGCAGTGTGCTGTATTTGTTACAATCAAAATGTGGTTAAGGGTAGTGTCGAGACATGTGCACAAGCAGTTCATATACCAAAAATTCTCGATTGGTTCACTCTAAGCAAATCAACCACTGGAGATTACAAGCTGTAATATCAATTTACACTCGTCCATCGATGAATGACTGTCATAACTCACTGGCATCGTGAAAGGGACTCTTGTACTTGAAGCTATAGTTCCTGGATTCTGGTTTCTGTAAGAGTAACAACACTGACTGAAGTGCATCCAGTTTTAGGTGCTATACCATGGATAAAGAGTCAATCACCCCGTCATCATCAACAAGAAACCTAACACTACTGTGTAACAATTCGAGTTGCTGCAAATCACATTAGTACATCAAGGTGAGAGGGACAAAGCTGAAGGATAGATGAATAGGGATAACTGTTGTCAGCAGTCGTACAAAACACATAACATGAGAAGAAGATGATGTAAGACAATAACGAGATGCGATACGATGATTAGGATGAAGACAATATGGAGATGCATCTGTGACAATCAAATCTGTATCACTAAGAGTCTCCAACCACCGTTTTCATTATCACTATACCTCCTGTCTAAAAGGTCAACACTTCTCTAAATGGCTCAGATCAACCTTTCGAGACTTCATAGACTAATGTCATGTATTTAATCCGATCATATTTAACCTTCTTAGAGCCTAAATCTACTTCAGCTAACATTGCATAATGGAGCAGATGATGAAGATCCAAAACCTCATCAACTGACATTTGTCTCTTTCCTAAGACTACTTCAAACCTCTAATTTACTAGTGTTGTGGTTTCATGACACATGGTCTGTGCTAAGAATGTGATGGCGGTTGAACAGCTTAAGCCTTCTCATGCTATCTACCTTTAGAAACTATATTTGACATCCAAATGATAAACAACCGCGATCTGTAACTCAGTACGTGTAACCCTTAATACCTAATGGGATGTCACGACAGCATTAAAGGTGTATTAAGTCAACATAGATCAAAGGAGTCTCTTTAGTTCTTGTAGAGATTTCATCGATCACTGACACATCATGGTTGATCCGACTTGCCGAACAATTGAAGCTGTCAACGTGCTCAAACACTTCTGTCCTTTTTTTAGACTAGGTATCAGCGTATACAAGTCCTTGAGGGACAATTTGTATTTAGGTGGCGTGATAAATATCCAAAACATTCTCAGATTTTTACTCAAGGTGTCTAAAAAACTATATCACGTAAGCATCTTCATCTATCACCTATGTTGCAGGGCCTGGTGGGAAGTAAATATCTGGTCGATGCACCCACAACCAGACGTGAAACCAGTCTGGTTTTCTTTTCCCCAGCTTTACTGAGATGCCTGGTGATTATAAAACGTAGGATCTCAGACAATATGCTCATCAGATCGATTATTCTTTAGTTATTTCCACTCTTAAATAGTCGAAAAATCAGCAGTTGAAACCTGTCATAGGGGATCATATCTAACTCCTATACACTAGTCAGCACTTCAGTTAATCTAACCAATAATTATCGACCGCCGCCCCTAAGTATTTCTGGTAGAAGGCCAGTTGACCCCCCCTATTTCAGATTGTTTGTAGTCTTCTGAAATTCTGCAAGAGCTGGAGAGCCTATATCAGTGTTCTATTCAGAGTCCGACTAAATATCGAGCAACGGAATATTAGATGGAAGCCAGTTGAACTGTTCCTCGAAATGTTATACTGATCGTTCCAAGCATCCGTCCTTCCAGTTTATCTCAGATGCATCCTTTTTTTGCTATGGTCTCAATAATCATTGATCTTTTCCCCCAGTTTATGTGATTAGTCTAAAGAAGTGTCTAGCGTTACTTATTGCCTCACCCTTTCTCATATTTTTAACCTTTGCCATCCGCTATAGCTCACGGGGATTGCGTGAACTGTTTGTCAGTCCTCACTTAAGTTGCTTTCACTCTGCGCTTAGCTCGGAGTTTGCTGGATTGCATTCACATGCATCTACTAATTTAGAAGAATCTGTTGAAATCCACTGCGTACTTTAACCGTTTTTCTGAAGGTCATTTACACTGTTTTTACAGCACATTAGAGATGGCACCAACCTTCTTCAAGATTGAGTGATTTTGTTTAGCCAATTTCATGTGTAAAGCAGTCTTAGTATTTTCATCATCATTTCATGCTCAGAACATTCTTGAAGGTGTAGTAAGAAGCATTTGTCTTCGACTCTACTGCTAACAGAATCGACATCAACTGTTATTGAATGCAGTTTTTCTTGTGTTTGTCAGTATGTTAGCGTTATTCCATATGTCGAGCAGTAACTCTTCGTGACCTACCATGCAAGTTGACGGATTATAAATGTTTGATTGTACCCTATTTTCTGTTTTTTTTTTCCTGTAATTCAATGGTTTCTCTTGTTTAAAGCAGAAGTATTAGATATTTGTTCCCCCAGTTATT